TGTTTATCCATAGTAAACTTGCGTGTTATGTATCCCTGCTCTTTCGACGAAAATTAATTCCGACCAGTACGATACCCATGTCCAAATTTAATACGTCCGCAAAGGGTTAATAGTAAACATCCTAATTTCTACTCACTGACTTACACGTATAAAATGATAAAGTGAGTAGAAATTGTTACACAAACAGAAATCGGGTTTGCTATGCGAGTTCGATTCGTGGAATAAAATAATTGTTCGCATGAATGTAATCGCAGGTGCCACCCAGGTTCATCCAGAGGATACCGACGACGACCAGAATGACCACGGCAGAAGTGACCGTCGCTGAGAGGAAGGAGAACGTGACGACGGCGATGCCGAGCGAGCTGACCTTCGAGGATTCCACCGTCCAGCCGGAAGACGGGTTCGCGGCTTACTCGACGGCGCTCAGCGTGACGATAGCGATTGGCTGCAGTCTGCTGATCCTCAACGTGTTGATATTCGCCGGCGTTTATTACCAGCGGGACAAGAGCAATCAGCACAACTGTTCGAAGAAGAGGCAGGAGAACGGACAGATGCCTAACAATATCTGCGGCGATCTGGACACGAAGACGGCCGAGAGGCATCATATTCAACATATACCGCCGCCGGAGTTCGCCGACCTGCAGAACAACAGTTGCCACGTGCCGATGCCACCGCCGCCGCCGAAGAACACGAAACCGGGTAAGCCGGGGCAGAATTTGATCATCAGTCCGAATCAGTTGCAACAGGAGAGCATGGCGATGACTGGGACAGGTACTTTGAAGAAAGGCCACAATCATCAGCAACAAGTGATGGACGAGCTGAGGGTCTGACTCCACGAGCACCTCGTCGGTGTAAAAAAACTCTTAACAGGAAGCTCGGGGGTGTCTAGACTTATCGTCGGAACCTTCGCTTGCGGGGGGTGTCGGGGTTCGAACTGAACGTTCTGAGACATCTCGTCGCGAGACTCTCGACGCTCCGACGGCAGCGACGAATTGTAGTACTTTCTTCGAGGTCTGTCAGGTCACATCGAAAACGGTTCTAACAAATCGATCCATCTATTCTTTGTAGAAGTTATGTGTTCAAGTCGCGGCAATTGCGAGGGACGTTAGACTGAGCCCGGTGAGTGACACGGACGAGTGACAAGTCCGGCTCGTTATAACCCTTTTCTACTTATTACGAGAGAGTGAGAGAGAGACGGAAGAGAAACCATGCGACCAACTGCCGAACAATTCGCGTAATCTTCGACGTAGGAAATAAACGAGACGATTCCCCGAGACAATTAGTTCCCGAACGTCTTTTGTATATCTCAACCAAATATTTGTTTCCGATTCGGACGTTATGTCGTAACAAATTATGGTGTAACAAATTCAACGAGGCGAGCGAGAGGCGACGTGATAGAAATTTACAGAGAGGATCCGAGTCGACCCGTTCGTACGAAAGATTCCAGACGTCGAAGCCTCGAGCGAGACCTGTCGTCGGCGTTTCCGGCGGTCCACGTAACTTCCATTCTTCTATTGTTCACCTAAATTAGTTGGAGCATCTTCGACGAGATAAAGAAACTGAATTACGAATCGATCGCCCGATCATCTGCCACTGCCATCGAAACGTAGGAACCTCGTGATTCAAGAAGCTGGAAGTAGCGTCGATCGGCTTAACTGCTCAATAAAAAATAAAAATAAAAAATAAGAAAGATAACGCAGATTCTCCTCCTTTCTTTTCTAAACGGATTGGCGAAAGATCGATTGCACGATCTTTGTCGTTAAAAACTAATTAACAGCATACTGCCAACTGACCGGAAGCGAACTCTTTCAGAGACGCGAGTCAATACGAAGCGGTCAGAGAACGTTGATCGCGTGTACAGTCGTAGCCGCGATTCGAGCAGGGATAAAAAAAAAAAGAAACGGAGATTGCGCGTTTTTAGTCCGATTTTTTAGAGCGCGACCACCACGTCAAATGGTAGGGGGAACGGGTTCGGAGGATTGTAAATAATTAAGCGAATAATTAAACTTAGTGGTTCATCGGGTCGCTGATATCCTGGCGAAAGCTCTGCGGGCGAGGAATCTGATTGTAATTGCACTTGTGTCAAGTAACGAGACGGTGTGTCAGCATAGAAACACTGGACGTAATTTTAAATTTGTATATAATTGACATTACAATAAACTGTGTAAACAATGATTAAAATGCCACCCTCCATCCCACCGTCAATCTTTATCATAAATCATGTATAAAATCAGGTATCATCGAAATTATAAAAAAAATTGAAAGCCGGAATTCTTCGTTGAATGGTACTCTTCGCAAATCGATAACTCATCCGAGAGAATGCAATAATTAAAGTGCATGCATGGCGAAGAATATGGGAATCCGAATAAATAAATAAATGAGAAAGTATTCGCGTCGCGAATTATATTATATGCGTTACGTACGTTCAATTAATCGGAGCATCGCAGTCGATCAATTAACTTTTATTATGTTCGCCAACAATGAATCACGGATGCACTTAAACAACAGACCCCGTCAAACAGCCACGATCGACTGCAATGTGGGATATATCGTGAAATAAATAAAACCAGAGATGGCTTGTGAACACAATCTTTATTCGTTCGTTTGAAGCTCTATTAGTTGAATTATGAACGTACAGTTACGAGAAGGTAAGCTCGTTTCGAACCGAGGCCAAGGTACGTATTCCTATTTCAACCCAAATCGATAGAAAAAAAAATTAGCTTACTTAAATTATTTAATCACACGTTCCACTGATATATCGAGAATAAAACTGATGCTATATCGAAGAGCTTATCAATTTAATTAATTCGGAACTAATAATTTTTCACTGCATTTTTATCCTCACCTTCTATTGTTTAATATGAACGAATTCAACGATAAATCCTCGCAAACGTGGATGCCATTAATTCCAGCGAATTCTCAACCCAATTAACACGAATTACAGGAATGTAATTGCATCGCTTTAATACAATCATATTTGTATACGCATACTCTGCTTAATCTAAACTGCCGACACAGGGAAAACAGTGCGAAATTAGTTTGTTCGGTTTGAGTGAATCAAATCTCGGGGGTGATCGATTGAAGCGATTTTCACGGGAGGCATCTTATAACTTCGGTTTTAATTAGCAGCAATATTTGCCAGACTTACCCAATTATTTCTGCTCCACTCGACGGCGGCAGCGATGCTGTCGGAAAAAGTTCTCCGGCGAAACGAAAAAGTTGTTCGCAGGCTTTGGATAATTATGCCCCCATCGCGATTCAAATTAATAGGACACGAAACGAGGGAAAAAGGAGTGTACAGAAAATCCGAGAAATTAAACAGTCGGCTTCTCGCGTTCCCGCGGAAACTTCTACAAGGGCTCCTTTGTTTTTCTTTCCGTTCGCTGGAGAACCCTTCCGAGCCCCGGAACAACTGAAACCGGCTTTCCACGTAGCATCATCTCAATCTCTCACGAATCGCTGTACGTACAATCCGCTCGTTTACACTAACGGTTCGGTTAGGCATCGTACTGATTGGATTAAGCAGACTATGCAGTCTCTATCATCGAGATCCATCAAGATTCAGTATGACGAATTAGAATTGAACGCGTTATGGATGCGAAACGTCTGCTCCGATAGGACCATGATTGCACTGCCGTTTTGTACCTCTGATTAAATCGCCCTACTGCTCTAATCGAACGATTACGATACTCTCCCTATAAACGTACGCCGTTGATTTATTACTCAGAAAACCATAAACAGTCTCGATTGGTATAAAAAATTATGAAAATCAACTGGAATGAAACTGCGTTAAGTAATCTCGGTTCGAAATGAGCTATATGTGTGTAATAGTACCAACACCTTTTTCATCGCAATTCGTTGTATCCTGGACAAACAACGTCCATTAATGTTTCTGTAAATGCGATGAAATCAGCGTTCGTCTGTGCGTGCTACAGCTAAATATGAAATCTCGAGTCCGCTACTTGCTAGAATTATCGCTACGGCAAACAAATTCAGAGGGCATAGCAAAGATCCTGATGATGATCCGCGATAGCTATTATATAGATCTACATAACTGTGAGTCGTAAATGCACTTGAGACCTCCGTTCTAGTCGGGACGTTCATTAATGATCACTGCGTATTTCTATGCGAATTTAATTTATCATCTAATCGCAGATTTTCTCCCACGCACTTTCTATGATTGTTTCGCGAAATCCGCAGTAGTGATGCAGGTACAAACTGGCGAAGGAGCGGCCCTCGACGGATTTCATCGCTCGAATGAGAATGAACAATCACTGATGTTTATTTTCAATTATATTTCTTGCAAGATCTCGTTCGATCACGTTAAACAAAAGCGTACATCGGTTGCCTATTTTTATGTTTAAATGTATCGGAGAAACTGAAAGCCTTCAGGCGTGTCTCCCTTAACCCTTCGAGCCCCGAATCAAACTCGGCAACGAGAAAAACATTCTACGAACATACAAAATATCGGTACAAAAGTATGAAATCGAATTTTACCGTATCATCCACCTTCACCCGTCGCCTAAGGCTACGTAACGCGAAATGGAACAAAGGCTCGTACGACCACGGCGGCTGGAAGGGTTAACCGTCACAATCAATAAATATATCGCGTCCTAACGCCTACGTTAAGTTTGACAATTTAATTGCAAAGAGACGATACAGCGAATACCTCTATTTAACTAATAAACATTGGCTACGATAACATTACCACAGAACGCGGCCCTGCCTTGCAAATTACATTCGCAAGTGTCCCCTTCCCTTCCTCCCTCCCTCAATCAATCTCTCCCCCCCGAGACGTTACAAATCATCGCTATCGTCAAATCTTCGATCCCTTTCGCCACGGAGTGCAACGCACAGCGAAACTTCTTTTACATAAAAATCAATACCTCTGTGTGTGTGTGTGTGTGTATGTGTGTATATGTGTGAACAATTCGATACGTGTAAAAGAACGAAAGAAACCGAATAAATTAAGGAACAGCGAATTCTCTTCTATTTTTTTTACACACACGTTATTACAGCTTGATCGTCGCCGAGAGCTCGGTAATTAATTTCTACTGCGCTGCAGCGAAAGGGTGGAACCGCAACCGAAAGGATAAGGGTCCCAATGCGAAGAAGCGAGCACAGAAACGATCGTCGAACAATCGTTCCGACTAGATCGGCATACTTCTACTTAGATTCATTCGCCAACGGGAAAGAGACGCTCGCTGCATCCTCGAACAACGCCGAGATTGCGATCTCAGGAATAATTTCCTTTAGAGGAAACAGGCCAGAGAGGATGATGATTCCGTGAGGATTGCAGCGAGAATATCTTCTCCGTGAAACGCGAGGCTGAAAGAAAGAAAACGCGTCGAGTGCTACGAATCCCCTAACAATTTTAGGCGGCTTTCGTATTGTTTCGACATCTCGAATAAACGGTTTCATGTACGATTCGTAGCGAACGACCTCGAAGAGCTGCACGGTGAACGCTACGCGACACAAGGGGCTGCGCTAGAGAGACGGTTTTTAACGTTCAGAAGAAACAGCGTTAATGCGTGTAGAGCTCGCGTTTAAAGCACGGCGGATTATTGAGTTGCAATCGTTTCTTTCTTACATCCCTCGTGACAGAAGCCTTATCACATCAATAACGAGAGCGCGGGAGAAATGATTCTCCGTGCTCTCCAGAAATTGCGTCTACCATCTCATTCGTTCGTTTCTAAACTCTAATTAGCAGATGTAAAATTGGCCCGCTTCCCTCGTGGCACTCTAGATCAACGAATATCGCGCTCGAACCCAGTTTCACCTCATCCGTAATTTTTTTTTTACGGTACGCTATTATAACTCGCTTATATATGCTTCGTTCAGTGTGTGTGTATGTGTCTATGTGAGTGTTTAGAAGCTTCAGTCTCCTCGATGAAACGCGAACATTACGTTTCGTCGCGACGCACAGGATTCGTTCATTGATTAGCGCATTTCGTTTTATGCGTTTTTTATTTATAAAGAAACAATGTTACTTTCTTTCTTGGTAAACGTTTACTAAAGGAATCGTAATTGATAGATAATTTCCGAGCAAATGAATCTCTCCTTCCCCAATCGATGAACGCATCTCGTCGCTGGCTAATTTGTCGAGATTATCGAAAAACGTCTATAAAGATTGTTTAATTACGATTACAATATTATAAACCTTGAACAATTCGTCGTTATCGCAGACTCGGCAATAATATAACATGTCCTACTGGTAAATTGTTTAGCAACTGATTCGGAAATAGGTCGCTCGATTCCTCGATTCTCACGACCTCGGGGCTGATGAAACAGTTTTACTTTCAGTCGTTTAAGTCTGGCGCATCATCTCGTCGCATCTAAACTCTTCTCGGTGCCTTGTGCGTGTTATTTGTTTCTCACTTCGAAGACGATGATAGGATCAAAAGGAATTTCTAACTAATATAAATGAGCGAAATCACCCTGGCAATTATCATATCTGCCTTTGGAACACCGAAAATCTTGATATGTACAGTGACGAAAATCAGTTTTGCTTATTGCTTCGATCGTGCGCGAAAAAAGCTACCCTATCATCGATACGAATCGAGATTTCTGATTTGCACCGTCGAAACCGTCGAAGAGTATCCGGCGGATACAATTCGCGAGAAGCTATATTTATCATCCCTTGGGATTTTGAAAAAAATCGCGGTATGGTAGAACGACTTGAACGAGACTTATACGGAATGTATTCGGTGGTGAAGAACGATGTGAAACTTTGACTCGTGCCTTTTGTCGCGCGTTAACTCACGGGCCACGATGTAGACATCAGAAGAAGCCAGCGTCTTGTTAATAGTACGTGATGATTTTTGGTTCGTATCAGAGAATGTCTCAAGGAGTTAGCATTATTTTTAGCTGCACACTGACAAAACCACCTCCCTAGCAAATGCATCCGCTCTCCCCCTCGGACTCGGACCCGTTCTGCATCGGTGACTGATTCTGCAAATCGACAGCTGCTTTCGTGTGTTAAGGCGTTATCACAGTGACTATTTTACTTCTTCCAATTTTTCATTTAACCGTCGCACACATTCAACCGTGACATTCAGCTACTGAGCTTCATTCAGACCAAAAAGGGATCAGTATGACCGACCGATCGCACATGTAAAAAATGAGAAAACGTTAGGCCTTGAGAAAACTGTATTTAATTCTGATACCGTTCATCGTGTTCAGGCAGCGGTCAGCTATCGTACAAATCACATATAATTCTTAAATATTAAAACAATCGGTACCACGATTCCGATACGTATCGAAAGCTACAGTGAACAGTGAGCGGACTCGAATTTTTTTAAACGGTATTTAAATTACGTTTTTTAGGCAGCACAATTAAATTCGAAGATTTAGTCCCAAAGACTGAGTGTCGATACTTGTTTCTCATTTCGTAAGCTAGAATAAATGCTGATTTAAAAAGCGTTATAAAATTGAAATCCTTCAAAAACGGGACGGAGCATTCCCTTATTAATTACAGTGGAATTTTACAGCCACGAAGCACCTTAATTAAAAATCATATAAGTGCCGTTTCGTCACATATTTCACGATGTACAAAGCGTTTTATATATAAAACCTATATATATGTATGTATATAGATATATATATGTGTATGTATATAAAAGCAATAAATAAAGAAAAATATAATAGAAACGAGGAAATATGAACAAGGAGAAACGAGGTTTGTAAAAAAAAAACAATGTACGAAAAATAATAATGCTATTGGTTTGTTTTTTATATAAATTAAAATATTACAATAATTATTAACAAAAATGTCACAATATCATAATAGCATTCTGTCTGTCCATATCCCAGATTTTAAGTTAAATATAAAAACTCGATTCCTGTCAGAATTTCTTTTACTAAATACTCGATCTGTTTTAAATATCATCGCGTGATTCTTTTCATGTTTATGTTCGAAACGTATAAATAATACTTCGATAGAAATGCAATGTATTAATTTATGCCGCGACTGTACGAGCACGGAAACCATTATGCGTGTGAGCAATATAATCCTTAAAGTGTACGTAAAAAAATTGAGATGCTGATTCAACGTCGTCCAATTTCATCTTCCTCTCTCTCTCTCTCTCTCTCTCTCTCTCTCACTCTCTCTCTCTCTCTCTCTCTCTCTCGGTTTGTCTGCAGTACGCACGCAGGTACACATCGTACGGATTCTCTTTTATACTAATCAGTTCGCGCTTAATTCGAACGCTGCGAAATTCTTATTGCTCGATGATGCGATCGATTCGAATCAATGAAGAATAGTCGTCGTTTACTAGTATCTCTCGACTGCATTTACGCAATACGTAATCCCATGGCCTGGCCATTAGTTTTAACCCGTATTGCAACTTATATATACATCACTATAAATACAGATAGTATATAAATATATATATAAGTGCACCATTTCTCATGCAGTCACAGTACTGATCATGCATACGACTAGTACCTCATTTATTATTATTATTATTATTATCCGTTTTGTTTTTTGTCATCTCAGAATGCAGAACGCGACGAATTTCAACTTAAAAATTATCATGAGTATCCGTAATAAGTAAAAACAATTCGATTGTTAAAAGTTTTGTCTTGCGATCAATAGAAATGTCGGAGCGCTATCTAGGATTGTTGACTACGTTAAAAAAAAAATAAGCGACAGGTTTAAATAAATTCGATTGCGTGAGGACGATTATGATTTACTAGTACGCACAAACACGTTATTGTGTAAAAGCAGTCTGCTTAAGCTACCGTGTGATATTTAACTCATATTTTTTTGACTTTTTCTTTATCATTTTGTTTCACGAAGGAGAGATTAATAGCTATTCTCAGTACAGTGCTGTTACTTTCCGCGTGGCTTGCGAGAAGGCCCCCCAGAATGCATGTCACTGGCCTAGCGTTTAATTCATAAATTAACTTAGATCAGTGTCTCGTATCTACCCGTTAGGCTGACCGGTGGTTTAACATGCACAACTGCTCTCCGATGCTTTCAGTTCGATCGGTGTGTCCTTGAGAACTACTTCTTGCACTACAGGTTTAGCAACACATTAAGGAAAACACAAAAAGATAACAGAAAATAAATGGTTAATCGTGTTAAGCAACGTAATAAAATGATCGAAAGAAATTTTCATAACCGATATATGCACGGTGTGTTCAAACACGACCCAGACGACTTCGTATGATACATAAAAGATTCACTGGAAATCAATAGAACGAATGTGAACGAGATCGGGGACGTGGGGCATCTCGGGGTGCTGTGTTCGAAAAAATAAATGATCCCTGACTAATCATATATGTATATATATATATGTACCATGCAAATGTGCAGATCACATATCTTACGCAAAGGATACTGTCTTCGGGCGGCTTGTTCTCAGTGGAATCCATCCCTGGTAAGGCTGCCGCCACTCTTCTAAAGAGCTTGTCAATCGACAGAACATCGTTAATTAACTTGGTCGAATTACATTTGACAGTGAATTAGCTAACGTCTGATAATTACCTGCTTCACATTGTATCCAGCTTTAGCACTAGTTTCAATGAACATCACATTTAACTCCTTGGCTTTTCGTTCACCCTCCTCCATCGAAACTTGTCTCTTATCACCCAAGTCTGTCTTATTACCCACTAGCATAATAATTACATCACTACCCCTTTCAGTCCGCACGTCGTCGATCCATTTTGACGTTTGATGATACGAGTTCGCATCTGTGTAAACATTTCCACTTGAGCAAACCGGCGACAACAAACTACCGGCTACCCGTTTATCTAAACATGAGACTTACTAGTGATGTCGTATACCACGACTGCCACGGTGGAGTCTCTAATGTAACTGGGTATCAAAGATCGAAATCGTTCTTGACCAGCAGTGTCCCACAGCTGTAATCTCACGGTCCTATCCTCCAGATACATCGTTTTGCTCAAGAAATCTATACCTATCGTTGCCTGGAATAAGCGAGGGGAACGTTTCGATGATGATTTTTATTAAAACGACGCCTCGAAACCCAAATACACCTTAACTCTAAAAGACGGTCTCATTCTACTCCAGCCTCTTACCAAATAAAATAATCTCGAAGCGATATGAAATGGAGAAAATATATAAGAAATCCTACGAGGTCATTGGAAACTAGTAAAGCGATGATCTCAGAAATTTAGAAAGTATAAAAACAGAGGACGAGAAACTGTCCTACTTAAAAGAACAAAGAAAAATCACATCTGGTAATTCGAGGTATTATAAATAAATGTTCGTGTATATACGTAAAACGTACGCATATACTGCAAAACCATTAGTAGTTCATACCTGATACGTGTTGTCAAAGCTGTCATACATAAACCGTGTGATAAGAGAAGTTTTTCCAACTGTAACATCAAATCACACGATTAATGCAACGAATTTACTACTTATTGTTATTAAAAAGAAGAAAAAAGAAACGATTATTAAAATCCCTCGTTCAAAATACACTTCGAGTACATATGATAATGAGTCATTAGGTATAGAAAAATTGATAGAGATAAAAAATGAATTTATATCGAGACAGCCGATTTATTCGAATTCATTTGGATTTTAGCATTGCGAGGTTCCAATGTAATAAATATGATATTACGCGAGAGAGTTGCTTGGAAAAATTATGAATTTTAATGGGCGGCAGAGATATATTTGAAGAAAAAGCGACGGTATTCGGTAGCGGGGCGGAGGTAGCATCGCGAATTTCGTTAATTCTGCATGAACGACACGGGGACGGTGATAACGAGAACGACGCCGAATTCGATCGGAACGATAAAGTCGCACAGTGACCAGAAATATTGATCTATAACCTAGAATGATGATTGAAAGGGGCGCACAGGAGCGAAGCTCTGATAACGAAACTCGTTAAAATTGATCGCGGGTACGTAGCGCGTCGTCGAACTGAATTAATCCCGGCGATACAAGCGTACGACGGAAGTCTGTGAGTAAAACACTTACCGCTTTGTTCACCGAGAAAGACGAGCTTAAATTTACGCAACGGGTTTCCAAAATCACCCGAGGACGACATTTTCTTCGTATATTCGAACTGTCGCACGATAAATGATAAGTACTGATCGACGTTCAATCAATTTAACCGATGCGACGAGTCATCAATTTTCGCGACGAAATCATTTAACTTGACAGATCGCAAAGCCACTCCTTCCTACGCTCGCAAGGCAGCCACGTTTAACTGGGAAGTGACGTCATTGTATTAGTGGCTAGCAGCCTGGAAGAGAGAGTATCAGAATGCCCATCTACTACCAGATGGCAGTAAAAATCCACCCACGCGAAGGTCACCGCGTTCGCTTCAAGTACGCGCGCGGTCCTTTCGATTCCGCCTACAACCGCCTCGATCGTCTCATTTGCAAATTGCCAAGAATTAAACATAAAAAAAATCAGCGGGACTTGGAATTCCGTAAGGATTTCGCATGATCCAGGTTGTACAACGCACAGAAGTTAAATTATAAAACGTTTTATTATCAACTGCATTAAATAGAATCTGTACAACCGAAATTATTCGAACTTGTAAGGGTGTTTCGATCAGAATCACATAGCGCCCTTCGGGACGTAATTAAAAAAAATACTTGGAGGTGCATCATCCTCTCGCGCATACGATATATACATACAAGGTAAATGGATCGATCGATCGTTTCAAACATTCACTGTTGATGATGTCTGTTGTTGTTCAGATTCCTATAAGGATCCTCGACGACGATCGAGTTACAAAGTAGATCGTGAACGGTTCTGTTGAACCTGAAGAAGAACAGGGCGAAGCACACGGGGAACAGAAACGCTAGGATCATGTTTTTCACGACCGACCGGCCTAGGGCGAGCGGTAAGCCTAAATCAGTTCCTGGTGAAACTAGAACGACGTCAGGATCGTCTGGTCTGTCGACGGGTGTCACGTTACGACACTGAATCACCCTTAACCCCATCATGAACTTGCCAGGCGTCGCGCCACCGATGAGACCGTACATACCGTGTTGCAGCCAATACGCCTAAAACACATTTTCCATCCGGTTCAACCGATCCTGTTCGACTTTACGATCTAACGTGCTCACCTCGAAGATGCACACTATCACACGATGAATTATCTCTAACACTAATATACCGTAGGTCATTTCCAGTGCCATTTTATAATCGATCCTCAAATTAGCTTTGACCAAATCTAAATCATCTATGTCTCTAAAACACGTGATATTTAATAAATAAGAGTAAACTAGTTGGAAGTCGAATTTTACGTACATAAAGTCGAAAACGTCGATAGCGACAAAAGTGATTGAGAACTTTAGAAGAAACAGCATGGTCGCGTCGATGAACTCTGCTGCGAATCGTTTCCATATCGGAGGGATCCGGTATTCGAAACCTAAAACGATCGGCTTCTTAAACATCTTTCTGGACAGTGATCGTGTCGTTAAATGATGCGGATGACGACAATGTACGCTCGAAAAATACTGCATTCATAAAACCGTCGTATAGTTCCACTGGTCTCGGACGTAACGCAGTTATATAGAATGCAATACCTTTGCGACAGTAACACACATAATACTAGCTGAACCTCTGTTGGAACGTGATGGACACAGGAGATATCGTTATGACCTTCTACCTTCGGCTCCGGGGAGCTGGAACGGAGCTGCGACGTTCGCCTGTGGCCTCCTTTGCCTGAGCGGATCGCTTTCTTGGCTGTTAACGTCGATAATTAATCTATGGGCGTTCGCTACGTTCGGTACTTGCGACGAGAACGACGGCACACCTGTAATTATTCTATTTTATAGAATAACATTACGTTAAGTGACAGTTCTCGGGACGATCGACTGGGATGAGATGTAACCACGATCTTACCAGCCGAAGGATTCATGATTTGTCCGCACATAAAATAATATGGAAACATCGCTGCCATGCTTTGCCAAGCGTACGCTTCGTGCAACCATTTCTCTAATTTCTTAAAATATTCCGTACGCTCCTCGGCGGCTGTCATCTGACATTTCTCTTCCTTTTTCGTATCCTCGTTTTTGTTATCATCCATGTTTGACAAAACCAGAATTCGTTCGGTTTCAGAATTAATGATAAGACGTATGTTTACTTGAGACAGCGAACAGGTAAGGTTCCTCGATCCACGTTAATTTTTATTCGATAACGAGGAGATTAAATATCGCCAACGTCGATCTTCATAGCAGATTCCAAATTGTCCACGTAATCGTTGATCACTTTTTCAAAATAATTCACCGACGGTATTAGAAAATTTGTTTGATTCCATCGTTTGACCAGAAACTCCTATTGGCCAATCCTCAGTTAAAAACATCGAGGCATTGCGATTCGACAGAAACACGCAATTCTGCTCGAACGTTTCTGCGAGAAAACCGAACGGCCCACATATGTGCAAGTATGCAACCAGCTGGGATGCGATTACATATGCGCGTATATAAATAAGAATATTTAATTAATCCATCGACACCGTTCGACGATTGAAATTAAATTTAGAACGAACGATTTAAATGAAAAGTACGTACATATAAGTACGATGCGTTCGGTCTCGACTGACGAGTTTATAAAATAAAAAAAAGAACGAATTACTCGTCCAATGGGGAGGGCGAACAGAAAATTACCAAATTTTGGGAAATGATCGGATCCGATGGCACGACTGAAACCGAATAAAAGCACTAGGCCGCGGCTGTGTCAAACGAGATGCCGCAGTTCGTAGTTCGTACTGCGGCGCTGGCTTCTCAGGACATGACGTACCCGAAGCATTCGTGCAGTAATCACGGTCAGAGGACGTTTCCGAGTCGGCTCTTTCTGTATTTCACGTTTTCGAAATAGATAAGACCGAACCGGGCGGGTGTCGCGTCAACGTCGTGCCCTGCGTCGAACGAGCTCGCTTGACCGCGAACGTTCCGAGTGACAAGTTTCGCCGTTGTTGAAAAGGGTGTGGGCCACGACGCCAGGAGAAACGTTTAGGTAAGATCCGCGTTAACTTAACGACGAACAACAATTGCCTGATCGGCCTTAGTTCGTCACCGCTTGGAAAACAAACCGACGGAATCGAGAGTCGATTAAAAATCGTACGACGAGGGTGCGAGATATTTCGGCGCGCACGAACCGGAGGCACGGCGCTCACGCGTCAAATCCCGAAGAACGTCGCGGCGGAATTCTGAGAATACGGTGTGACCCGAACGAAAAATCGAATCTCCCTCTTTCGCGGTATAAACAAATTGCCGAAACGCGTGGTAACTCGTCGGTCCGACGAGCTGAACCGAACGAGAACGGAATTAACGTTTTCCGTTGGGAAACGTAAGAGCGAATTCGATTAATGCGCGGCAATTGAACGTTCGATTCGACGAATGCAGAGCATAGGTTAACATCGCCATGTGACTCAGGAGTTACGTACGCGGCTATACAATGTGCAAATTCTCAATTTCATCGTGACTGTTCCTCCATTGTATTTTATAATAACAAACATTACGCGAGACCGAGGAATCGTGACGAAAGGGGGATCTTCTATGAACGCTTCGAAACGCGCCGTGGATCCGCGGAAAGTCCACGAGAGATGATAATAATAAAAGTTTAATTGAACGTCGCGAAAATCGATTCGCGATCCACGTGGCGCGAGCAGTTGAAAAAATGAGAAAAGTAGTCGGCGAGTTTGTAAAAACGTCGCGCGAAACGACGTGCCGGGGGATCGACCGGACCGAGATTTAGCCGGCGATGCTGCGGATCGCTTAAATCCCCTCGCATGGGTTCGACCGAACGCCGCGCGCCGTAGCCTCCCATCGATCCGCTTTTAGTCCACGCAACCCGCGACCGATCTCGTCTGAGAACCTTTCCGATGGCCACCGTCGCCGTCCTCCTCCTCCTCCTCCTGCTGCCGTGTTCCGAAAATAAAAGGTGACAAAAGCGGAATTGGCATGGAAAAATGCCGGGGCGCGCCGTGAATAAAACCCGAGGGTTTACTCCAAATCAGGCAGAAGGTGAACGGCCGCGGGCCATACAAAGTCCCATTCACGCGTCGTAAGCACCTCTACGATTTCGGAACCGGTTGCACCGAATTTATGGGAAAATGGCCGGGCACCGTGGGAGCGTGCGTGAACGCCTCGCGTTTTCTCACAAGGCTGGTCCCTCGCCTTAATTCGAGTCGGGACAGCTTTGCGAGATACCGCGTTGCATACTAATAACGGCAACGTGACTCTAAACGCGAAACGCGTTTCCGGTTCCGACGAATTTCGATCGTCTCGTCAATGACAATTAAGTTTTTCATAAATCCCCCTCACGCATATTCGTCGGTCTCAAAGAGAAAGATTTCCGAAAACAATAATTAAAACCCGACGGCCATTATTAAAACTCGTTTCTATTTTTGTACCTTTGTAAATGATTAACGAACGAAGATTACTCATCTATTTCTATAATTCCTGTTTCCGTTGAACGAGCTCTCGGACGTAGGGGAAGCCACGATAACGCAAATTGCCCTACTCGATACCGCACCGACGGCTTGCGGCGAGATTACAGGTCTAATCCACTCGACAAGGAAATGTAAATAGATAATCGTGCAAAAATTGGTGAAAATTTCGTGGAATAAACGCGGTTCGACTTCCACGAAAACGCAAACATAATGCAGACCAATTTAACCGTGTGATTCTAAAACGATGAGATGCAGAGATATCTAATTTTATCACTCGCTTGTTGATACGTTCGTTATCGTTGTCGTAAAGTTACGTACGCGCAGCACGCGTTAGTCTTTGCACGAAACTTAATCAAAATTTTCTGCACATCTCCGCTGCTACGTGTTCATAAAATTGCACTAAAAAAAAAAAAAGAAAAACGAAGCCGAAGTATTCGCGACTTTCGTCGCCGTTTTTTTATCACACGTTATCCGGCAAAGGGAAACAGCGGCAAAGACGTTCGCTCCTTTCAGGACAGTTCCGTCCTCGATTTTCATCCGGCGCATTTCGATTCCGATGCACACAGACTGCTGCATTTCCGTTCGAATATCACGAATCGCTCGCGATCATCCATATGCCTCCATTGCTTTCGGGGACAATGGGTTTATATTCACGGATTTCGAACGTCACGGGCCAGTGTGAAACGCGTACGCAATTTACAGTGGACGGTGATGGGTTTCGGAGATCGACTGCTCCGTTGAAAAACTAGTTAAAGTCGCGAATGGCAAGACTTTTGTTTTATTTTTCCTATTCACGTCGACGAGAAACTGGGAATTGATTATTAACGAGGAAAATCGAACGATGAATCAGTAAAAGAGAAACGAACGTCTCGTAAATTGATTAATTACGATTTTATTATTAGAAGAAGATTCAAGGATTTTCTTTCGAATACTGTAGGAATGTTTCATTCGCTTCGACGTAATTTCATGTTTTTTTATAATTAAATTGAAAATTAGTTAAGAAATTTTTATTTCGTTAAGGAACGTTGTCTCGCGGATCGAAAATGAAGCTTTGCCGACTACGGTGCAATTTCGCAAACGAGAAGCGTGAACGGATTCCATTGAAATTCCAGTCACGTGAACAGCAGCAGCGGCACAGACAATCTCCAGCAGTCTTTTCCGTGAATACCGCCCGGATGAAATCTCATTTGGATACATAGAAACCCTCCAGTCCCTGCCCGGTTTCCCAGTCGATTTCATCGGTATTCTATATTCCGGTAGAATTATTCGTTCCCGCATAAACACTGACGAACTTTGCCAGCGTGCGCGCGCGCGCGCCTAATCATCAAACGAATTTCCGACTAACCACTTGGTTTCACCTGTGCTGGACGGAAGCGACGGACGCACAGGGAGAAATAAAAGGTTTTACACAGGTGCGTTTCTATTTCACGGAAGTCCACGTATTTTCTTCCCTTTACGACCAATAAACCGACACCGGGGGAAATTTGCATTCTGATGCAGTCGTACGAAACGTCTTTTCGCATATTCCATATGACCGACTGCAATTTCCTTTTGTTTTCATTCCATGTCCAGGATTTTCTGCAACAATCGCACGATAATCACCGGGGATTAAATTCCTAATTGCCCTACTCGGCGATCATCGTTTTCTTTTACCGCACAAATAAAAGAGGATCAATTAATGAAAATCGTTAACACTCTATTACGTTCTGCATCGAATTACAGATTTATAATCTCAAATATAAATAGGTAGATTACGCGTGTACGTCGATTGAGCATGAGTATAATTAGAGATAATTTGATATGGCAGTTTATCACGAATTACTCTGTATTGCCATTGCAGCGGCGCTAATGAGGCACTTAGTGTTTTGAAATCCATGTATCGTACGGTGGAAACAGTAGATTCATACATGATCAGATACGTGCTATTACGCAATAATAATAAATACCGTTGTTTATTGCCGGAATCTTGTGTAGAAAATTTCGAGGTTCAGAGTTCACTAACGTCACGTTTTGATAAGCGATTGCGTGGATCAAAGAAAATTCGAATAACAATTAGTCGTGACATCAATCGCTTATCTATTTTTCGATTATGTAAATAGATGCTATAATATTTAATAAATTAAATACGCAGCATCTCTCAATTTTATATAAAGTATATTATTTTATTTTGTATGAAAATCTAGTATATTTGTAGAATGATAAATATTGTGGCCTCAAAAGATGTAAGGAAGATCTGCGGTGTACGTATTTTTTAATTTGAATGGTTGACATTCTTAAAATGCCGATCAATCAACGTGAATCACACGCTTCGCGATGCAGATCGCCGTTCCCGCGTCAGCGGAACAGTATCTCGAAATCGACCTATCTGAAGGATGCACGGACCGCTGATTACGCATACAATGGCTTTGCAATCCTATTGTGCGATCGCGATATTCTTAGTTCGTCATCGATCACCGATAAAGTCATGACCAGTCGATTAAGGAACGACGGTCAGCAGTCGCGGCGAGAATCATTTGCATTGATACTTGAAGAACCGGCAGCTCTTCCAGTGTTTCTAAGTGTATCTACGAGTGTAAACTGGTAGATGAAATGAAAAAGATTGAGAGTTTAATTTGTATTAAATTGCGTGCAATTGAGTTGTTGTTCATTCCTGAATGTTTCTTGTTAAGGGAAAATAATTGTCGACGAAGTCAATAATTAATCGATTCCTGAAGTATTCGAGATAGAAAAAAATTATATACAACCTTTTTTCTAAGTAATAGTAGTACCTACAACTTTTATTTAAAGCATTTCTTGATATTCTGACGAAAAAAAAATTTTTCAATTTT